GAGACAGGACCAATCGTCAAAATTTTGGTGTCGATCATTAGATTGCATCCTGGACACTACGGAAAAGCAGCTAAAAGTGTTAAAAACCGGAATTTTCCTTTAAGCAGATATTCCTTGGGAGCAGGAGATATCTGGAGTGACATCTGGGGAAAGAGCTACCCTGGTCACCCTTGGCCGCTCACTCAGCCACAGGCAACAGCAACCCTCATTCCATCAACAATGGCCCACCAAGCTTCAAAGGAGGGGCAAGTCCCACAGAATGGATGAAAGAACCACACTTTGTTAATTTCCTGAAGCATTTTATAGAGCATGCTTTGTGCTGCTCAGAGAAACTCTGCTTACCCCTTCTGGATAATCACTGCTCACATCTGTCCATTTATGGGGTGAATTTTACCAACGAAAATTGCCTTTTCCTCCCCCACTCTACTCCCACAGGCTGCAGCCTTTAGACAGAAGTATTTGCAGCTCCTTTGAAGAGTATTTAAATTCTGTCTCTGATTCCTCGATAAGAAACAATCCAAGAAAAACATTCAGTATATATGACATCACTCAGTATATATGACATCCCTGGGAATTTAGCAACTATTTATCCCCTCGCTGCAACCCCGCCTAATATTCAGGGAGGTTTTCAGGTAACAGGGATTCAGCCGTACAATAGGGATGTTTTCTCTGAGACAGAATTTGCACTATCTTAGGTATCCGATGGCCTCTGCCAAACCCAAACCCCTACCCACCCATTCCTGGACTCAGCACGGACCCAGCTGCTCCAGGCACCAACCAAGAAGCTATTTAAGACCCTGGTAACCCAGCCTCCTCCACTAACACATTTCCTCCAGATGATATAAGGCCTTATCAAAAAGCTGGTCAAAGAAAAAAAGTTACACAGCTGAAAAAGAAGAGAAAAACTTCCATTCTCACTGACACACCTGAGAAGGAGGCTGAAAGGCAGGCAAACCAAACCTAAAATGTCAAAGAAGTAAAGCTGAAGAAGCAAACAGAGGGCAAAAAGAAAGACTCCAGATGACTCGTCATCAGAAGAAGATGAGTCCCTGTGTCTGGTCTGCATAGAGCCATTCAACATATTCTCATTATCAGTTCGTATGAAATAGTACGAAAAGTTATGCACAGTATTTCGTACGTTTTGGACGTTTTGCCTCGAAAATACAGATCAGTGCGCATGCGCAGCCAGACAATCGAAAAAAGCAGATCCGCGGACGGACGTAAAACTGGGAAAAACAGTGCAATAATTACTTCTTCAGGTCTCTAACTAGGTTGCTTGCTGTTTTGTGTCTTAGGGTTAGGCTTAGGGTCAGGCTTAGGGTTAATTGTATGTTAAATTCTATGTTATTTAATGGTGCGTAACATGCGCATGCGCAAGGATATCTTGTCTCGAGGCAAGAGGTAAAAATACGACGAAATGCGATGAAAAAACATCTAAAACGTACGAAATTACGGTGCATAACTTTTCGTACGATTTCATACGAACTAAAAATGAGAATACACTGAGCCATTTGAAAACAGCCGCCCAGCAGAAACATGGGTGCAATGCACCTCTGGCAATTCAGTCTACATGTGCCAAAACTGTGACTCAGGTAAAGAGTGTGACAAGTCAGCTCTGGATTTTAGGTTTTCTTTTGTCCCAGAACCAGTTTTATAGCATGTTTTATAATAACTTAATTTCCTGTTATTTCATATGATTCAATCTAAATAAGCTCTGCCCAAACTGTGACTCAGATGAGGTTTCTTTTGTTCAAGGACTAGTTTAAGTGTCAGTTTCATAATGCATGTTGCACATTATTTTATGTTATTTCATAAGAAGTAAAAGTGGTTTATTGTCATTTATTCACTTAGCATAAAAAAATAACAACAGTCATTCATTTAAACCTTTATTGGTTGCAAATCTCAGATATCTTACGCTGTGGAGAGGCAAAGTGTCACAAGGCAAAAATCTTCATTAGATCGCTTATAACTCTGCACAGAAATAAGATAAGGAAATGACCCAAATACAAAATATAGACTTTGATCTTTCATCTGGTATATATGTTTTTTTATATATATGGTGTTTTGATTCCAATATTTATATATGAGTGTAAAAAGTGTGAAAACTAGCCCCTGTCTTCCCTACTGCTGGTGAGTACTTCCTCCACCACTGCTGGTATTCTAAACATGTTATTCTTGCAGCGCCACCTGTGAGTCAGATGTGATTTTGCAGTCTCAGTTCTGACTCATTAAATATTGATGATTGATCTATCCCCCTGCCATCAGTGCCAGATACTGACCCTTCTTCTCATTCCTTCAGGTGCAGGAGGAACGCTTAAGGCATGCTAACTTTAGATATATGAACAAGGGAGTTTTTCCTCTCCACTGTCGCTTCAAGCATGCTTAGTGTGAGGGATTGCTGAAGAGTCAATGAGTCGATTCAATCAGGTGGTTTTCCTTAGATAGAAAACTTTGAATCAATCTGACTGGTTGATCTGGTTGATTTGTCTCTATAAAGTGACCTAAGATGACATGATGTGAATTGGAGCTATAGAAATAAACTAAATAGAATTGAATGTAAACTTAATGTGATTTTCATTATGCCAATATGCTTTCAGATTAGAACTCTAATATTTTAAAACATAAATATACATGTTTTCTAATCATATGATGGTATTAAGATACTATTGTATAAACATTATCCTTAAACTCTCGATATTTATGAAATAAATACAAAACCAAACGCGGGTATAAAGATTAATTTTATTGACAGAAGTTGTTATATTTTTTTAAAACACAGTTTACATCATACTGTTAAATATGTTTTGTCGTACAGAAATAAAAAAAACTTAAGTTTACTTTCTTTATTCAACCTCGAAGAAAGAGACAGATAAGGAAACAGAATTGTGGTAACAGTCGTTTCTCTGTGATCTACGATGGTCACCATTTTCAGGAAAAAGGAAATGAGCTCATTTGGCGTCAGGGGCGGGGCCATGCGAGTGAACTTAGCGGCCGTTCTTCCATGCTCATGGCTCCAGAACGCTGCTTACTTTCTACGCATAGCAGATGCTTTGCAGTCAGGCGAACTGATGCCCAACAGTTCATTAACAAATCACAACAAACATGGATCCAACGTCACACAGCAGCCAAACAAAAAGCACATAAGAGAAATCAAAGCAATGAAAACCTCTATTAGGACGACCAGGGAGAAAAACTCCTGATTGTCTCCATTATGCTCCTTCAGTCCATTACTTCCAAAGATTTACAACATGTCAATCACTGCTGTTCACTTTGAGAGCCTCCATTAAGCTCTTTATCATAAACACACTATATAGACATGGACACTAAATACATCCAGATGGTGAAATATACAATAGAAACAGGAACCAGAAAACGCAGAAAACTGCTCATTAGGAAACGACTCGTTCATCAGCAAAAGTTCAGGAGTGGACGAACGATGGCTGAACATTAGGAGAATATTGCATCAGAATGACTAAATAACCTTAAACCAGGAATGATGAGCTACGTTTGCTCCTCCTGGTCTTTGTTACAGCAGGAACGTTGAAATGGGTGAAAGTCTAGATGAAACGTTTCTACTTCAGTGAGGCTAAAGCTTGTTGCTCACTCTGAGAGCTGAGGAATCTGGTCTCATGGTGCCAAGAAGAGGAAGAAAGATTGTTTTGCCTCTAAGTGTTTGCATCAAAGAGAGGCTCTGCTGCAGAACCCACAGAAAGGGGGGGTGTTATAGAAATGCTTTATATAAACCAGATGATGTATCATAGAAATAGAAATACTTCCTCTTATCCTCCACCTGTTCCTCACATAGCAGATCGCTGGACGGATTTCCCTGAAATAAGGGGGATGAAACAACAGAGAGAGATCAAATCACAGGAGCTTTTCCTACTTTAGATCCTGACCCGTCACACTGATCTCAGACACGCTGCAAGAAAAAACATCTGCCCAGATGTGATGAGAGCAAGCGGCAGGGCGCCCAGGGCGGGGCTGAGAGAACGAGGTGTGAGTACGGTGGGGCCGGGGCCTCTCTGTGGGCGAGAGGCGGGATCTGTCGCAGGGCGACACAGAGACACACAAAGACGTAGAACCATGCAGACACACTCACACCTCAGGACAATTTAGAGACACCAGTTTACCTAACAGTCGTGTTTCTTGACTGTGGGGAGAAGCTGGAGTACCTGGAGAGAACCCACGCTGCACGGAGAGAACATGCTAACTCCATGCAGAAAGAGTCAGAGGATCGAGGGACGAATGGCGCCTCTGTGCGGCCCTAGGAATGGGTCAAAAAATAGCGTGAAGGAGTGCTAATGAACCTTTAGGCCATGCTTTGATGGAACACAGTCCAATACATTCAGATTGTGCTGAACTCTGAAGTGAGTCCAGGACTGCAGCAGGTTCTCAGTCCTAGATCCTAATTAATCTGTTCCTACCAGGGATTCGGAGTCTTTGCTAAAGAAGAGCTGCTGCTAACAAAGCTTAACTAGTTTCTACATTTATAAAATCAGCCTCAGATCAGCAAGACTGAAACAGGAAATCAGAAAAAGTGAATCTAGAAACTTGAGGACCACAGAAGAGGCTCTGGTACAGACCTTCAGTTATCAATCAGAACAGATACAGATGGAGTGAATTCCAACCTATTCAAATATTCAAATATCACTGCTGCCCCCCGTGGATATAGAAGGCATTGCAGTGATATCCAGCTGAATGGTGCTGAGGGTGTTACCAGTGGGAGGGGTTTTCCAGTGAATAGTACAGTGGGAGCTCCCAGAAAGCTTCTGGTCACCATCTGAAAAATGAAAGGCAGCCGCTCTGCAGCCGCTGGCTTTACTCAGCAGCTTTAAGTGGCTCCGCCTGTAACTGGAGTTTAACACTTCGTGTTATTTTGGTGCTTGTAGAAATGAGGCTGAAGGTGGAACCCCGCCGGTGGTTCCACTGCTTGAAGAGCTCCCTAACTTTCTTCTGGAAGTTTTTCCCAACAATGACGTAGAGAATCGGGTTAAGAATGCTATTGAAGATGCCTAGGTACATGAAGATCTGTCCACAGTAGAACATGATAATTCTAGAGTTACAGTCCTGCAGGTAACCAAAATCATTGAGCAGGGATGGTATCTTGAGCAGATAATATGGAACCCAGCAGATCAGGAATGCAAACAAGACAGCCAGGACCAAAGTGGTGGCCTTCCTATCTTTACTCTTTGCTTTTTCCTCTTCCATAAATCTGCTTCTTAGAGTTTGGAGAATCTTGATGGTGCAGGACAGGATAATTGAAATGGGAATAAAAAACCCAAACACCAAAAACATGAAATCGCTTATGAGAGATATGAGATAATGTTCTTCATAACAACTGAACTCTTCCACAGTCCGGTTGATGAGCTTCGGAAGACTGAGAAGGAAACCCAGAATCCAAACCAGGACGCAAGAAATTTTAGCACATTTTGGCCGACGCAGTTTTTGATGAGACAGCGGGTGGACCAGAGCCAAGTACCGATCGATGCTGACCAGAATCAGGAAGTAGATGCTGCAGTAGACGTTCATCGGAATCGCCACATTGACGATTTTGCACATAGCGAGACCAAACTTCCACTCGAACTGATTCCAAACACTAACAGCCCAGAAAGGCAAGAAGGAGGTCAGAAGCAAGTCAGCAACAGCCAGGTTTCCCATGTAGATCTCAGCTACGGAGCAGGACTTCTTATGGAGGATGAAAACCATCAGAACAAAGATGTTCAACGCCATTCCCAGCACAGAGATGGACAGGATGTACACCGGGACAAAGCTGTAGACCCACTCATGAGATACGGATGAACAGTTACTGTTGTCTGTTTGGTCTCCATTTTCTGCCAGTGAGGTCAGATTAGCAGGGAGGCTGCAGAAAAGCAGAGGGAGAAAAGAGAGAACATCAAGCTGAATACTAATGACTTACAGGAAGTTCAAGGTCATTATAGAACCGGAGGACATTTTATGTACAAACCTTGACATTTCCAACAAATTATGGAAACATGCACCCCGTCTTTAAGTTTAGATATCCCGACAAATGTGAAAAGTGATTCATTGATAATATTTTGAATAAAAAGCAGCTCTTCAGCCCTTAATGAAATGCCTTTTTGTTCTTGTCCCTCCGTCATGATGACCACATTCGAAATTAACAGAGGAAATTATTATTTTCATGTATTTGTCTAGTAATTATTTAGAGATTTTGTTTAATCACAGACACATTCTATATAGTATAAAATAGAAAATCCCTTTATTGTCCTAAAAATAGCAAATGGTGGCATTACAGCAGCAAAAGTTGTCACACAAATGTCAAAATGTTAAACCCGCCTGGAAGAAAAAACTGTCATCTTCAAGAAAAGATGTCTTTAAAATGATTGTTGTAATGATGGCTAACTGTTAGCCAAATTGTAGCGTGTCACTCAGAGCAACCAGCTCCATTACTGTTAGCTAAGCAGCTAACACAGCTGTTAGAAACATGCAAATGTCCTCATTTTATTTGTGCTAAGTTACCGGCATTTGGCCTGCAGAATCAGAATCAGAAATACTTTAATAATCCCAGAGGGAAATTACTTTTGTACACGCTCCAGTTATAGTTTTATATAATATATACACACATCCAACTATACAATATAATAAAGATAAAAAATAAGAATAAAAAATAAAAAAATAAAAAGAGATAAAATATATACACATATAGCTCTTCTGTATATATATCTGTACGTATATCTGTACTATGCATATGTAAAAACTAAATCGAAATAAAGTGAAAATCCAAGTAAAGTGATAAATCCAAGTAAAGTGATAAATCCAAGTAAAGTGATACGTGGCGTGCAAAAATAGTGCATAAATGTCAATTATGCACTATTGCAGGAATGTTGAGTGTTATTTTAACTAATATGTCTCTCGGGGCCTTTGCTGCTGCAGGTGACTGATAACTTCTGAGCCTTCCTGTTACTATAATTTTGTAAAAATGCCTTAATTTAAATGCATTTTCCCTTAATTTGAGCAGGTTAATAGCATAATTTGCAAATGGAGGAGTATTTTAACTCTTGAAATTAGTTAATTTTGGCATGCTTTTGTGACCCATGTATGGAGGCCTTAGTCCTTGAAGCGGCCGACCTGGGTTCGAGTCAACCTGTGGTCCTTTGCCAAATGTCTCTCTCATCCCCACTTTCCTGTCAGCCTACTGCAGGGCTCGATGTTAACCATCGCCCGGGACAAGTAGTTTTTATTTTTGGGAGAGTACAAATTTCATTGCATTTGCCCGCCAGGTAAATGCAATGATCGCAAAATAAAATTATTTATCACCCAAAATTACTTTAAAATCACCGACATTCCCTGAAAGCGACCCACAAGCGTTGCCGGCGCCATTTTTGTTGTTTTGTACACATTCTCGCATGATTTGAAAAAGCCGCTTGATTTTCCGCTTGATGGCGTGATTTTTGTCCGGGAACTATTTTTTTAACAGATTTATTGCCTTGTTTATATATGTTATTAGTTATTATTGGCATTAATAAGGTTATTAATTTTTATTGTTGATGTTAAAAGGACCAGATATGGACAAATCAGCGCCACAGAAGCAATGGAGAACTGGTGGAAAGATGGTGATAGAGCCAAACGCCCAGGATTTTGGGGAGAGAATTCTGCAGAGCAGCAGCTGGATGATGAATTTAATCTATACTATAATACACGCTAGATTAAAAATGATCAGTCAGGGATTAGGAAAATAATAATTGTACGCGCACAGTGTACAGTAAATATTTCTATCATATGGCAGTTTTCTGTACAGTGATGCAGGTCATACATTAAAAAATGTTCATAAAATTTTTTTCTCATAGACATTGGAGTGGTGCATTTAAATGTTATAGAGATAAACATGTTAAATTGGTGAGTAGTAGTAGTGTAAGTTTTTATCCTGTCGAGTTTTTTTAGATCTTTAACATTACAATTTATATTTTTCCAAGCACACAACAGTTTAAAGCAAAGTTTAGTTTGAAAAGAATGTGCAGGAAGGATTGAAAAGCATGTTAACACGGTAATGTAGGCTTGAGTTCATTATCTGATGCTTGCATAAACACACCAGGAACCTGGAAACTTACTGAATTACAAAAAAAAACATAAAAAAAAACAAACATGTTTCATTGATATATATACAAAAATGAATATTAGGAACAATATTTATCAAACATTATAATGGGCAAGTAAAAATTGTTTCTGGGCAAATGAAATGTGAAAGTCATTTGCCCAAAGGGCAAGTGGTAAAAATCCTTAACGTCAACCCCTGTACTGTCAGATAAATGAGCCACTAGTGCCTTAAAAACAAAATAAAACATAGGATTATTAGATAATATGACTATATAAGAGTTTTTTCTTACTTTAAATGTAAATTGTCTTGTTCCAGTGTCTCACTTACCTCCTTAATTCAAGAAAAAGAACTTATTTTAGGAAAACAAAGACTTAAAATGACTTCAAATTTTTTGCAGTGTAGCAGCTGGTTTTAGAACAAAAAATTAAACATTAGTGTTAATTTACAACCCTGTTATTGTATTGAATGTACTGTAACAGGGCTACTTAAGAAAGGACAGTTTATAAAATATAAAATGTTTCTTTTAAATGTTAAATGTTTAATAAATGTGGATGTTCAGTTTATTTCGACTCTTTGGCCAAATGTCGGAGCGTGTGCTATTTTAGCCGATCTGGCCATGATGCTGCTCATCCCTCAGAAGAAAGATCAAATACATGTACGCTGTAAATTATTGTGATGAGGAGTTTTTCTTTGTTACGTCATAACTTAGAACACGTCCCTTCAAACCTGTTTCTTTTTGCAACCCTATTGCTTAAGTTGAAATTCTGCTATCTTATCAATAATTATTCAAATAACCTTTACTTCCTGATATTTAACAAGACTTTAAAACTATTTTCCTTCTGATTAAATAAGAGTAACCATTCAGTTTTTTGGCAAATATTAAAAGCTAAATGTAATTAGTAAAATAGAGCAAATGAAAATGAAAAGCTTAAGTGAAATATATTTAAAATATGTTTTTCAGGTGAATGAGAATATTTAAGAAGGTTGCCTTCAAACTGGTATAAATGCTTGTTGTGATGAACAGTAAGCAGAGTGTTTTCCAGCTCTGCCTGCTTTATCATATTTAGCTTTGAACAGAGCTTCTATTCGCAGCGCGTCTGCAGGAATGTTTTTATGCCTCCGCTTCATGAACTTTGTTTCCTCCTTTACTTTATGTGTGAAGATGAAGTCAGCTTAACTTCAGCTGCATCTATAACGGCAGCTCTACAAACCCGTGATCTAAATGAGAAATTTCTGCTTCACCATCAGGATCTTTGCAAGTTGAGACAAACGCAGTCTGCAGGGAAAGTGCTGACATGTTGTGACAAATGAAATGTGTATTATAATATTGTTAGTGTAACGTTTCTGCATGTCTCAGCACATATGATCTTAACTGTCTCTCTTTGCAAACTCTCACTACCGTTAAATTGCAGAAAGATGAAAGTAGCAGAAAGTGAAAAGCTTCTGCTCACCTGGTGGGTAAAGGATCCATTCTCCTGTCCTCTGCTTCTGTCCTCTGTGGGAGTGGGACTGGTGTCTGTTGAAGTGGCTGAGCTGGTATCAAACTGGTCTCAGACGTCTTTTAACACTGGATGACTCGATCAGTTTCCACCCACTGGCTTCAATGTGTCCCACCCCCATTTTTTATTTCGCTGGTAGCTCTGTGTTCATCAGCAGAGAGCTGCTCTAAACCGTTTTCAGTCTGTTTTTTTTTTTTTCAAGTCCCAGCATGCATGATGTGGGATGATTGGAAATGAGTGTTTCCCTCTGATAAAACCCTCCCACCCCCACATACCCCCCCGGAGCAATAAGCAATACTATAAAAACCCTGATTTTAACCTTTCAGATCTCAGTAAGGGTTGATTAAGAAATCCCTTTTATTGACTAGAGCTATGCAGAACAATGTTTGGAAGTCAAACGTGCGTCAGAGAGCAGGCAGCGTGGAGAGCAGGAATGCTTGGCAAAAACTAAAACTTCAGGTAAAAACTATTATAACGACATTAAACATAAAACATTCATTGAAAAAAACTGAATGTGAAAAAATGCAAGTTTCAGAAAAATGGATAAAACATGAAAAACTTCCCTCTAAACACCTGCCCATGTTTGGATGATCTGATTGGATCTATAGACACCTGGGATGTTAAGATGTGAATTGGAGCATAAAAATAAAGCAAACAGAAGTGAGAGCTGCAGTTTGTTTGCATAGAGCTTCCTGAGAAACGCTGCCATCGGCTGGATCTGAATCATTCTTCCGTTTATTACGGATCCACCTGTTTTAAGGTCCTCCTCAGCGTCCGCAGGACTATCAGTCAACAGTCCACCTGCTCAGAGGTCCATTTAGGAAACGCAACATGGAGCCAAAGGAGGGACAAACGGAGCTGGAGCTCTTCACTGGAAGACTTCAACAATCTCTCAAATGTAAATGGAATCAACTGAACTAAGAAAACTCTTGACATTTATTTCATTTTCTCTTCTAGAAAATAAAGAAAAGTTTCAGCTAAAAAAAAAAACGTTCCACTAAATAAATAAAAACCGGAGCTTAAATTAGCTCAGAGGACTGATTGGAGCGTCGCTTTAAGGAGAGCTGAAGGTGCAGATTGTTGTTCTGGACAGAAAAACATCTAAGAACCAAAATCTAAGATGAGGAGAATAAAATCCAGCAGGTGGATCGGCTGGATTCTGTAACTTCCTGTTCTTCATCAGTGCATCATCCTCCTCATCACCTGAGACCTTCCTGCTCACTTTTCCGCCCTCTTTCATCTTCAATGTTTTAGCATCAAAATTTGAAAAAAACTCATTATTTTAACTGGAAGTCTGCAGCAAAATGAAGCTTTTATCACACTAGCATGATAGTTGTATGAAAAACATATTTATAGATGATTATTTATCCCGTAATAATCTTAGATTTTATTCTTTAGCAACGAATGGAAACAAAAAGTTAGAGCAGAAAAGTTGTTTTTGTCATAATCTGATGTGTTTCTTTGCTCTATAACTGCAGACCAGCTTTTCTATACTTCATGTTAAAAATAAACTCTTTATCACAGTCAAATACTTTGAAAATCTAAATTTACAGCCATTAGTGTTATTGGAATCCAGGACCAGACTTTATTACCTTTGTAATGGTAAAAATTAATGACAACGTAAAAACTAGAAACACCAACTTGCCCGAATTAATTAAGAAAAATAACAAAAGTGCTTCTAGAAGAAATTAATGAAAAACACTCTCAGAGTGAAAGAAACATTTATTTAGGTCCAACATAACCTTAGAGGCATTAATGCGGATACTGGAAGTAACATTTTTTAGTTTATAAACCTAAATATTATTAAATAGGCTTATTAACTTTTTAACTTTTCTATTTTATTTCAACTTAATTTCCTGTAGGTAATACATCATGCAGGTGCTCATCTAATTGGTCAAATGCCTAAATCAGATGTACAGCCATGTAGCAGTATCTCTGCTGCTGAATGGCTGGATATAGATCTAGTGTCTCTAGACCTCACTAAGGGACGGGGGGGGTGGCTCCATTTGTAAGTGGTATGCAGGTGATTAAAAAGGCTAAGTTGCCCTATAAAGGGTTAAATGGAGAAATGTTGGTTGCGATTGAAGCGACTGTCTGATCTGCTCTGAATCTGGAGTCCAGATGCTGAGAATCACAGCAGATAAACCCTGAGAGCAGCGGCGGGTATCTGATCATCCTCTGGGCTCAACACAGCTGCTCTGTTTCTAACCTGAACAGGAAGGAGAGGATCAGACTGCAGCTCAGGAGGATTTCAGGCTTTTAACAGAAGTATTGATCCTTTGGGTCGAACCTTCAGTCCCTTCAACCTCCTTCCTGCTCCGTTCCTCCACCATGTTAGCAGCCAAACATGGTGCTGATGTGGACTTAGCCTACCTGAAGCTAAAAGCTTTACATCGATACCTGAACAAGCTGCAGCTTGCATCATCTGCCACTCATCTCTGGACCAGCTGCAGTCAGAACGGCTGCAGACGCCTCTATTTGTTGTCAAATAAACGTCTGAACATGCAGCTGGTTGGTCGGTCAGTGGAAGTGGAAATCCTGCCAGACGTCCTGAAACTGCTGGCCAATCAGAAGCTTAATGAGACAGAGGGCCATGAGCAGCAGCTTCTAACAGCAACACTTGGCTGATTGCTGTAACCATCTTTAACGTGGGTGGAGTCACATCCTAATGTCCTCCACACCATTTCCTCTGAAGCTGATGCTTTTCCAAAGTTTGAAAATGATGTCTGTCTTTGACTCATCGAATGGGGAAAGAGATTTATGTTTCCTCTCACTGGAAATTATGAATCATTATGAATGAAGTCTTCCAGAGAAGAATGTTGATTTAGGAAGACGCTGCAGAAACTAAAGCAGGGACTTTATTTTTATCTAATCCAAACCATATGATCAGGCCAACAACACACAGCCTGATAAGACTTTAAATAATGCTGTAAATCTGGGTCTTCAATAGGAGGTTCCGTATTTCTGATTCCTGGTTATGGAACTGCAATGATTGATGCGGATCAAGATGCAGCAAAAGGTCCCGCAGCGTGTTTAGAGCAGCAGGAGCAGCGCTTCATGAAACATCTGAGCATCTGAGGCGCTTCAGAAGCAGCAGCTTCTGGAGTTGGAAAAATGTTACTTTAGCTGCTGGACATCAACCAATCAGAGAAGCTGATCTGGGAGTCAGACACAGCACTGCTGATGCAGAGCGCTATGATCACTCCTCTGAAACAGTTTATTAACACCTAAATTAACTTAGAATGTAGAAACCTGCCAGCAGAATATGTTCACTTTTATTATCCTGCTGCCTGCAGTTTGTAGCACAGACCTGAAAAACGCTAACAGCTACTTCCAGCCGCCACCAACAGTAGGGGAAAACCCCCAAGCGGCTCCCACAGAGAAATAATCTTTGAAGGCAGGATGGTAATCTGGATGAACTGACTGCACAGACCATGTTTTCAGGTTGACTTTCTCACTTCAACATAGATTCAAACTACTATACCGGAGGAATAAACATGAATACTTTGGACGCCTTTTTCCATACAGTGATTATTGTTTATCGCATCTGTACCCACCAAATAAACCCCATAGAGAAAAAGAGAATAGCCTATAAATATACCATATATATATGTCTTGTTCCAGTAGCCAATTTGTCATCAAGTTGCCCTGGTTCCCTAGAAACTTCGGTTCCACTAAGCACCTTGCCTAAGGGTCCACCTGAATGTCCATGCCGGGAATCAAACTCACGATCACCAGTACTGGAGTCGTCGCTGTTACCTACTGAACTATCCAGTAACGCAGTCCTAGGAGCATCTAAGATACTGTGCAGAACCATCAAACTTTTAGGCCTCTGGTAGAGGACCCGAGCTTGAGGATGACACATACCACCCCACGAGGGGTGAGAAAACAGTTTTTTGTATTTTATATATATATATATATATATAAATGTATAAAGGTATAAATGTGGTTACATTTGGATTTAATCTTAATGTGCAGATGAAGTCATCACTTATAATTTCTTGGTCCAATGAAAATGTAAAAATGTGGCCCTAAGAAGATATAGAAGTTAGAAGGTGTCGTGGGGCTTAAGGCAGAGAAATAAATCATTTTTTACATAACAAACAAGAAACATTGAGCAAAGTGAACAAAGAGATCCACAAAGCATCTCTGATTGTGGAGACGCTGAGGTTGATTGCAGAGCTGAAAGGTTTGCTTTGTTTTGGTCAGACCACCAGATCTCTGATAACGATCACGTCTGAATTGGCATTAAGTTTGCTTTCAGAGTTCTGTCCTGAGGGGAGCAGAGGACTCATCCAGATACGTAGAAGCATGTTATTCCACGACCTGAGCTCCCCATCCTCAGCCTTCTCCCCACAGAGCGGCCTAATGAGGGTATAAACCTGCAGCATTAAAATAACAGCGTGATCAGAGCCGCAGCCTTTGTGTGGCTGAAGTGATGTGAAGCAGCATTTTCCGTCCTCTGAGACAAAACCTGGAGTATTTTCCAGGAAGCACGAAGCCTGACACAATCAGCACGATCTGATGGGCAAACCTCCAGGAAGTTTCCTCAGATTTATCCTGGAAGCCTTATTGTTCTCCTGAATGACCTCCACCTCGGTGGGAGCCATGATTGGCAGACTGAGAAGCAGGAGGAAAGATCAAAATCAGGGTGGAGGTGCTGCTGCAGGAAGGTAGGTTTCCTGTACGAAAAATATGTTTATGGCCCAGACAAAGAGGAGGTCTGCAGCAGCCAGGAGATGGAATATAAACGCAGCTAGCAGCAAGATGATGATCCAGATGGTCTGGATCATCTCTGTTCCTTAAGAGTCTGGAGAATCTGATGGTCCAAATAGATTCACATGCTGTGACCAGATCCACACGCTGCATCATCCGTCACTATGCTCTGTCTAGAACTCCTCAAGCGGAATTGTTTTAGTTTCACTTGGTTTGATTTCAGCAAAGTTATTGTGATGTTTAATTAATGGCCCATAGATTCACCTGGACACATGTGTGTGAGCGCTCAAAGTCAGGAAAGTGGTTTTCAGTGACGATTGGTCACAGATACACTGACAGGTACATCTGCAAACCCTCCTTCCTCTGCTGGTCACTGCTTATCATCAGAGAGCATCCA